CCTTCCATGGGAGGGAAGGGTAGGGGTGCGCCCCCAGGGAGGTAAGAGCCAGGTGGTGGTTCCTCACCCTCTCTGGGCGGACGTCTACCCGGCAGCAGGGGAAGCATGTTTGACGTGTTCGGTGAATGGCCAGGTCACAACTTAGTGACTACTTCAGGCCTTGGGGAACTCACCTCATGGGGGAAGGGAGCACCTCCCCTCACAACTGCCGAACCCATGGCCACATATCCATGTCGTACACAGATTTCGCCGGTGTAGTCCGGTTTGGAGACAGCGGGTGACCGATATCTGGACCTTTCCAGGTGGTGACATCCGTTTACGGGATACCGCTGAAATCTCCATTTCCTCCTGTCAGTGTCTCCCCTGTTGGGCACTACCAGGGGACTCCCGCAAGGCGGAGGCAATCAGACAGGAAGTAGCAGTTTGCTGGGGAAAGACGCCATACACAGGGTACATCAGCCGGAACTAAGTCCAGGCTTCTACCCAAATGTGTTCGTAGTACCAAATCTACAAATGGCAGGCGTCCAGTTTTGGACCTAGGCAGACTGAATCAGTACGTGCTCCTCGATCGGTTCCACATGGAGTCACCATTCAGGGTTCTTCTCTCCATCCACCGTTTTGACTGGCTAGCCCCGCTAGACTTAAGCGGGGCCTACCTGCACGTATCGATGCACCTAGCGAGTTGCCATCTCCTTCGAATCGCCCAGCTGGGCCAAGTATTCGAATTTCCCCCTCCCCCCTCCCCCCGCTCGGGTTAGGCACAGCGCCCTACGTGTTCACCAGAGTGATGAAACAGGTAGTGCTGCTGCTTCACCAGATGTCGGTACACCTCAATTAGTACCCACACTCCTGGTTACCAACAGCCCGGGCAATAGCCAAACGGGTCAGGCTAACACAGGATTTACTTCACCAGTTGGCCTCGTTAGTAAATCGTCAAGTCCCACCTCAACCCAACGCGCAGTTGGTGTTCCTGGGCATGGAGTTTTGACACAGAGGTAAGCTTGGCTTAGCTATTTCAAGCGTATTGCTTAGCGCTAAACAGCCTAGCCGAATGCCTAGTCAGCGTTCCCTCGATGTCCCTCCGTGAACTAATGCGTACATGTATCATCGGAATGATGACCTCGGTTCGAAGGGTCGTTCCCCAGGCCGCACTACGTAGCCGCCCGGTATAACGCTTGTTTTAATGCCGAGCTCTCCTATGGGAACTAGATAGGCAGGTTTTGATCTCGGACCAAGTGAAGGAAGCCGTGCCCTGGTGGTCGTCACTGGCCAACTTCGGGCAGAGGGGCCTCCTTGGACCCGCTCGCCGCAGGTATAACTCTGGTAACAGATGCCTCCCCCTAGAGTTGGGGAGCGCATCTATTGGACGAACAAGCCCAAGGATATGACTCCCGCATAAGTTTCGGGACCACCATATCAACCGGCTCGAACTGAGAGCAGTGTACTTAGCACTACCACGCTTTCTACCCGTAGTTCGAGACCACAGAGTCCTGCTCCGCACAGACAACGCAGCGGTGGTCTCCTTCAAGAAGTAGGGGGGACGCATTTCCCATCGTTGTCAGTCCTAGTGGAGCAAAATCCTCCTTTGGTGCCTGGAATACAATGTGGAGCTA